GTTCATTTCAGTGAAGATGCTGCATACGGAAGCTCCTCCGATGGATGAAGTTCCGCGTGATTTCGGTGATTTTGGATGCTGCCAGCGGGAGTTCCTGGAAGTTTCAACGGATTTTTTTGCCTTCTCGGTGAATTAAATTCTGCATGATTTCGAAGACGATTCTAGCAGCTGCCAACGAAGGTTCTAGGAACTTTGTCTTGTTCTGATAAAGGGTTCATCCACCAGAATTACGTTTGACTTGGTTTGACTAAATAAAATACATTGGGGCTACATTGAGTCTATTGATGTTGACAAATAAATATATTACAATTACATAAAAAAAAATGCGAAATTTCGAAGGTGTTTTCTTGCGATCATGAAGGACGAGGTTCCATACGGTTTCGGTGGCGATTTATGATGCTGTCAGTGGAGGCCCCAGGGAATTTTAACGGAGTTTTCTCGGTTTCTCAGCGGAAGAGGTTCTACCATAGAGGTAACTCTAAGACTAGAAGGTCCCGAAATAACGTGTTCAACTTTTTGGCTCATCTCTGGAACTCTCTTCGGTCCCAAGCTAATCGATTCGCCCCTCGAAATATAGGAAAAACCAATAACCCCTCATTTTATCTGTCAAACTTTCATAGCGAATCAAAACAAACATTGAGTAGTACTAGAATTTCGACTAGAATGGGGTACGTTAATCGTTTGCATGGGACCAATAGGCTAGTCAAGTAGTGAGCCAATTTAAAATCGTTAGTTTCGTATTGATTATTGGTTCTACACAGTTTTGGTGGTGGTTTTTGATTCTGCCAGCGGAGATTCCAGTTTCGACGGAGTTTTCTCACATTCACGGTGGTGATTTTCGGTGCTGCCAACAGAAGTTTCAGGAAATCCTTTGTTTTGATGTTCACATCCCACTGAATGGTTGATGCAAAGGATGGAAATTAAATGCTTATTCATTGGGCATTCTAAAAGTGAGACTCTCCTAGCTTCCATTTATTGTCACAAAGATTTTCTATTATCACACAGATTTCCAAACAAGTTCGAGGTAAGTGCGCGATGTGAAACGGAGGAGGATGACGCAAGCAAGTTGACTTACGGGTGAGATCAGATTTGGGTTCTTTAATTTTGAAAAATATATTGGTTTTTATTTATCATCTCCGTTTTCTGAGCACAACGATATTTTTTTCGAACCCACACACTTTCATCTCGATTTTTAAATCAAGATTTAAAGCAAAATAATAACTTCACTGTTTGACACTGAACTGACAAAATGACAGCTCGCTCCCATACAAATGGAACCGAAATCCAAAATTTCATCAATTTTAGAGCACTGGAACTATTTTAAATAAGTGTGATTACATTAGCAAAAAATCACCATCTTAGAGCCCCTCGGTGGTACTTTGTATGGGTGTGAGCTGTCAATTTGTTAGTTTTGTGTCAAACAGTGAAGTAGTTATCTTGCTTTGAATCTTGATTTAAAAATCGAGATGGAAGCAAATGGGATCGAAAAAAATATCATTGTGCTCAGAAAACGAAGCCGTTTCAGATGATAAATATTAACCGATATATTTTTCAAAATTAAAGAACCTAATTGCTCTTACAGTATTCAGTAGTTTGTCCCAAAAGCTACTGAACATCAGTAGTTTTATTGAAAGGAGCTGAATGTTCGGTTTATTCTGTGATTTACAGTTCGAAAACTGTAAAAAAAACCGAACAGGGAAACCGTGATTAAGTGTGTAGATTTGAAAATCTTCCCTAATAAACAAATACCATAAACGAACTGTATCCCGGATGGGTAAACTATCCCACAAATGGTTTGGATGATACCCCGAACACGTCGTTAAGCTTTCTTTTATGGTTATTAATGGTTATTATTGGTTATTAAAAAGTAGTACAACCATAGAGGTAACTCTAAGACAAGTAGGTCCCGAAGAAACGTGCTCAACTTTTTGGCTCACCTCTGGTACTATCTTCGGTCCCAAGCTTGTCGAATCACCCCTCGAAACATAGGTAAAACCAATAACCCCTCATTTTATCTGTCAAACTTTCATAGCGAATCAAAACAAACATTGCGTAGTACTAGAATTTCGACTAGAATAGGGTACGTTAATCGTTTGCTTGGGACCAATAGGCTACTAAAGTGGTGAGCCAATTTAAAATCGTTAGTTTCGTATTGATTGTTGGTACAACCACGCAACACAACAGCAACATCGGGTAGGGGAAATTTTCCCCTTTTTTAGCGAGTAAAGGGCCCACAAACCATTTGTTTACAAATGACTTTTGCGCCGTTTTCAAATGTTAAGGCTCAGCTACAATGGAGAGCGCAGCGCAACGGCACGGCAGCGCGCAATATTAAACACATGCTTCTTCATTTGACGTGCTACAATGGGTACATGCGGCAACAGCGGCATTGTACTAAAACGCCGCAAATATTCAAAATGTTGAATAAGCGGCGGCAGCTTTTGCGCGGCAAGTCGCCTGAACTTGAAATTTACAAAAATAACTTTAATTTGAATCGATCATTCTCGAAGTGACTATAACATCACGAGTAGAAGTAATTTAAAAAATGGATTGTGAGCTTACTGATGAGAAGGTCATCCAACTAATTGACCTGGTACGCAAACATCCGTATTTATACGACAAAAAATGCGGAGCGTACCGGAAGACTGCTCTAAAAGATCGGGCCTGGAGCTCAATTGCGAGCATTTTGGGTGCTGAAATTTCAGGTAATTAAAGCTTTAATTAAGTAATTAAGCTAGCTTAAAACATAATACTTTTCTGTTACAGGAGATAAAGCTAGGCAGCGGTGGAAGAATCTCCGAGACAGATTTATGAAGGAGCTAAAAAAGGTCCAGGAGACTTCTACTTCGGGAGCTGGAAATGCAGAGGTACATTGCCCCAGGTGGATTTTTTATGAGGAGCTCTCATTTTTACAAGAGCACTGTGAAAGACGACGGTAATTTTGCATTGTATAAGCAAACAAAATTTTTTCGTAGTATAACTATAATTGGGTTTACAGGACTACAAGTAATTATCTAGCCTCCACGCCACCCCTCGATTCAGTTAACGAATTTGACACCCAATCCGAGGAACAATCTGGGAACCAGAACATGGATGACACCGGGGAAGTCGAATATTTGGACGAAGCTCTGGAATCACATGAACTGGGTGAGGAGAAAGGCAAGCGGAAGAAGAGGAAGAGCGACATAATCGATACAAAAATTGAAAATTTAGTGGACCAGGTTGGTGAGGTAATAGCTGCGATTGGTGCAAAAAAGAGCCGTTTTGAGCCATTCTGCAAATCCCTCGCTGAGAAGCTGGACAGACTTCCGGCTAATGTGGCTCGTGCGTTGGAAACAAAGTATACAACTGAGGTGAATGCTTTGTTGGATCAATATGAAGCTGATTAAAATTATCCTAAGTTTGATTATCCTTAAATAAAAAATTGCATCTTTGTCCTGTGCTTCACGGACCAGCAAGCGGTGGGAAACGCCCTCGGCGAATGTTTATTCTTACTATTCTAGGAAAGGCAGTTCCAGAAATCGCACCTTACCTCCTCCAATTAGTGCACATGTACCGATGTAGTCGATGCTATTCCAGAGGTTGTAAACAACGATCAAAATTTTTAAGTCAAGTCTTGGCCGAGTTCCGGGCAGCCTGTGATTCCTTTGTAGATCGTCTTTGGGCTGTAATTCGCGCAAAAGGATACTGCATCGAAAATTCGAAATACAGTCCGAAACTTGGAAGTGTTTTTAATATTTTTGTGTTAACCCTTAACCTACATACTGGGACGGATTTTGTTTTAGTGTAATGGTTTGTTCTCGACAACTACGTAATTAATGTACAATCTGCTTAATGTTTCATCGAGAGGAAGAGTTGGGCTAAAAAAATAGCAAAACACACGTCTCGTTTTGACCCTCCACCTTTTTGAAGGGGGCGGATATACACTACCCGTCATAAGTGACGACTCGCGTGGAAAAGGATTGCAACACTCACTTCAATATTGCATCACCTAAAAAAGTTTAGCATCACCCAAGCAAAGCGGGTGATGCTAAACTTTTTTGGGGGTTATGCAATGCAAGCGAGTGTTGCAATATTTTTCCTCGCGAGTCATCACTTATGACGGGTAGTGTAAGTGTGGCATAGGTAATTTTTCTAGTTATCTGCAGTTATATTGACGAAATTTATGCAATAAAATATTTTACTTTGACGACATTCCATCAAAAACTAATCATTCATGACACAGACATCATACTGCCCCACATTGGCCATCTGGTAGCTCCGGAACAGGTTCCGGAAGCCCTGGGGGAAGGGGTAAATTTAGCTTTACATCCGAAACCTATCGAGTGACATATCATTGTTCTCAGAATTTCGTGGACAATCCAGCAGAGGACATATCATCTTTTATGTACCACATTGGCCATCTGGTGGCTCCAGATCAGGTTCCGGAAGCCCTGGGGGAAGTAGTCATTTTTCACAACAACAGAACCCTATCATGCGACATATCATTGTTCTCAGAATTTTGTGGACAATCCAGTAGAGAACATATAATCTGTTTTAAATCACATTGGCCATCGGGCGACTCCAGAACAGGTTCCGGCAGCCCTGGGGAAATTGGTCACTTTAGTATTACCCCAGAAACCTATCGAGCGACATATCATTGTCCTCAGAATTTCGTGTACAATCCAGAAGAGGACATATCATCTTTTCTAGACCACATTGGCCATCTAGTGGCTCCGGATCAGGTTCTGGAAGCCCTGGGGGTAATGGTCAATTTTTCACAACAACAGAACCCTATCAAGCGACATATCACTGTTCTCAAAATTGTGTAGACAATCCAGAAGAAGCTATATCATTTTTTCTGGTGCACTCCGGGGTAGCGGACTCAAACAAAAACCCATTATGCGACATCTCAATTCACATCAGGAATCGACAAAATTATCAATGGCTGCCATGTTGGAATCCTAGGAGAAATTTTTAAACAAATTCCTCGGAGATTGTATTAATTCACTTGCCGAATAGCGATCAACAAAATTAATCTGTAACTTCTTGATCATAAATTATCGGATACTTATTCAAAAGGACGTATCTGTACCATCAGGTAGGGGAAATGTTACCCTTTATGATGGTAGTGTTAGTTTGCGTGGCAGTGCTAAGATTTCCGAGAAATTGACGTTCGAATCTTTGTTTACAAAAACAGATACGCCCTTTTGAAAAAGTGTCCAAGAATTGCCTTCCGAATGTCCTAATGATGGTTACTAGAATCTGACTGACTCGAGAAAGGCACTTGTCACTGGTAGATGGATTGATTACGGTATTTATTGAGCTAATTATGGATGAAATTTTACATTTTTTCAATTATTTTATTCTCGTATTCTCTTTCAATCATAACAAATCATACATTGAATAAAATCCCGGGTACTATGTCTAATTTGAGAGTTTTGTCTGAATACAATATTATCTCTGAATGTTTAGCAGTGAAGGAATTTACATAGGTATATGGTATGTTTATTATTGTGATACTGCAAACGGAAGACGATTTTTAATTATGTATTGAGCTAAATTATCTCGAGTTTGATATGCATTTCTTGGAGCATTATGATTTCTGCTGATGGAATCAGCTGTCACACTTGGTAATGGATCTGCAACTGTGCGCCACTCACCATCCACAAATTGACCGGTGTGGTTGAGGTGGTCCGGAAACGTAGGTGGAGCATATACACGTCTAGCATGCTTATTTGAGAAATTATGCAGAACAATGATGGCTTTCGTTATGTTTTCTGCGGCTTCAGGAGTCATTACGAGTGGAACCTTCAAAATTCTCCATCGAGCAACCATTATTCCGAAGGAATTTTCAATCGTACGTCTAGCTCTCGACAAACGCTGGTTGAAATAGTCTTTGATTGTTGGCAAGTTTCTTCCCGGGTACGGTCTCATAAGGTTATTCATCAATGGGAAGGCAGCGTCACCAACTATGAAGTGAGGTGAAAGTTGATTTGAATATGGTAGGCAAGTTGCAGGTGGTAAATCAAGATTTCCTTCTCGTAAACGGCGCCCAAATTCACTGTTCGAAAACACACTTCCATCTGAATTTCCGCCGTAAGCTCCGATATCAACTGCAACGAAATTGTAGTTTGCATCACAAGCTGCAAGCAGAACTATTGAATGTTGTTTCTTGTAGTTGTAATACACCGATCCTGCCTTTGGAGGACACTGTATTACTATATGTTTCCCGTCGATAGCTGAGCAACAGTTGGGAAGTTGCCATTGATGATAAAATTCTAAAGCATAAGTTTTCCAAGTTTCTTCATCAGGAACCGGAAGATATTCAGCAACCAGTACATCCCATAGTACTTTCACTACCTCCTGTGTAATCCGATGAGCTGTAGACCGTCCAACCCTGAATAAACGAGACAGTGTAAAGTGGTTCATTCCATGCGCTAGATACCTGAAATGAAATAGAGCAATATAGTCAAATGTCTATAACACGAATGTTCAAGAGGTTCTTGGTATGCGAATCACGAACATTTTCGGTTTTTATTGAATTTAATGTTAATTTGCAATGATTAAGCTGAAACTTATAAATACGTTTGAGAGTACTTACATAAGCGTCATAAAAAGACGGCATTCCGGATTTATGGGTTTTCTGATGGAGAATTTTTCTAGTCGATGCTTCACAGTTTCCAACAGCTTCTGAAAAACATCTGGTGTCATACGAACCGATCGCACAAAATAATCAGGATCTCCTTTCTTCATTAGATCGAACGCTGTTTCGTAGAATCCTTCGGTTTTACGGCGTCGATTTGATGGCCTAATCCACCATCGTCGGCGCGATCGTCGGTTTCTTGGCATTTCATCTCGGATATTTTTAATTTCACGCAAAATTTTCAATGAAGTTAATAGTTGAAGAGCTTGCGATGCGGTTTCCATTTTCGCGAAAGTTGTCAATGACAACAGAGCGTCAATCGCATATCACCTGTCACATTGTAGACACGAAAGCGGCAAGCGGCAAAGGCAATCAGTTTAGAACATTTTAGTACACTGCCGCATTCTGCACACTGCCGTGCCGTTGCGCTGCGCTCTCCATTGTAGCTGAGCCTTTAGCACTGATTTTTATTAGGGTTTTTAGTACACTCAAAAATATTACTAAACTAAGAAAGATTAAAATTTAATCATTTTATGTTTTGGCAATGTTTATACATTGATTCGATTTTTATTTTTAACAAAATTATACTAAGTTCGATTACCGACGAGGAATTAGTTCAGTGTATTCCACTGATTGATTCTTTGACAGCAAATCAGCGGAAGAATTTGAAGTGATGGAGAATAAAAACTCACAAAAACTGAAGAGATTGGCTCCGATTCAGTCGGAGCTCTCTCGTCCAAGTTCCATCGGACGGATGTGTCCATTAACATCGATCCCCTTCCGAACGGAAAGTGCATACTGATTGGCGTTGCGTCATTGATACGCAACGGATTTTTGTTTAGGTATGTATGCAATTTGTGATGATTTTCAACACGTTTATTTATGTCGGCGGTAGGCTATTGCGGAAAGTTTTGTTCGTTTCGATCGATAACATGCATAATTTTGTTTTATTTTAGCACAACCAAATTGAACGCGATTAACTGCTAGTCAAGATGCTTAGTGCGTCGTTGACCTGTTCAACAACTCAAACCGCCATCCGTGTGTCGACGAAGGTCCCGTATAAGATTGAGGTATTTGTGGATAACGTGCCGGTAATGGTTGACCCTTGAACCACGGTGCTGCAGGTGAGAATGTTTGGGATGGGGAGTTTCAATTATGTCATTAAATCATTAAATAATTTGTAGTTTTTTGCAGGCTGCAGCTTTGATGGGTATCGAGATTCCTTGTTATTGCTACCACGAGCGACCTTCTGTACCGAAAACTGTCGAATGTGCTTGGTGGAGGTGGAAAAACCACTGACACGATTATGGACACGGAAGACGAGGCGCAACAGCTGTTCGAACAGCTGTACGCGGCTATAACTAGGAGTAAGTCGCTGAAGATAGTGCTAGATGATCCAAAAGCAAATAGTGACATCATTGGATCCGAATGAGGCATTCCGGATGATCAAATACCGATCCCATCAACAGGATGAAGTACCAGGACTCACCCAACTACAAAAAGAAGGACCACCAATTGTCCGGATAGATCCGCAATCAAACTCTGTCTGCGGCTAATAATTTGACAATAAATGTGGTTCATAAATTTGTTGCAATAATTCATTTTTGGAACCAAACAATCAATAAGGAACAACAAAAATGCTATTTTCAAAATAAATCCCGAAAACCCGATAAACTAAATAAATCCCCTTTAAACATCATTTGTATACTCACAGTTTATGCATTTTAATGTATAAACCATTTTTATACTAAGTTCGTATTCGCTCACTTTATACCAAGCTATGCGTCGGTCAGGAGAGTTGCTATTTAGCGTAACTTTTAATCTATTTAGATTTGAAAATCTTTTGAGTGCAGGTCTATCATCTCGGGCCCATCTTCAATCGAAAAACCCCCATCACCGTCAGCATCGTTTAGGGTTGCTTTTGCAACGCACCAACCACCACATTGCACTACTACTGTCACGTTTGACATTTCTCGATTTGCGCAACTTTTTGTCGATTTGTCCCGTCGCTTTGGCGTTTTTCTTCATCATCCAGTCGCTTTTGGATTATCGAACGGTGCAGTCACGGAACAAAATAGGAAGAAACACACGGGAGTTGCTGCCGACCTTCCACTCCCCCGCACCCACATCGGTCGACGGTGCGCGACTATCGCTCGCAAGCAAGAGAGAAAAACGGGAGTGTTCCACACTCTCACACAGCAGTCATATTCTCATTCAGCCAGCACCAGTACCCAGTCTCAGTTCGGTAGTGCAAAAGAAGCCATTTTTCATCCATCCTCTGCGGCAGTGGTGAGTGAGTGCGGCTGGTTGGTTGGCCGAGAAAAGAAAAAGGAAAACTGCGGTGAAAAATGCCCGAATCGGTGGAAATCTAATTGGTGAAAAGTGTGATGCAGCAGCAGCAGCATTAGTAGATGGTAGATTCCGGTGATTCCTCCTGATTTTTCCCGTGTCCGGTCATGCTGAAAGTTTTTTGAGTTTTTCTTTTTTTTTTTTTGTTCGCGTTCGGTTTCCTTGCGACGGTGGTGCTGCTGCGCTGGAACGAATCAAGCAGCAGGAGGAAAAGTCTTGGTTTTGGTGTCGTCGTCGGAGGAGCGCAACGGGCGGAAGCAAGAAAAAATTAGATCGATATTTTCCTCCATATTATTGTGTGTGCTGGCTGTGGGGCCGCTGCTCGCTATATTGCTAGGCTAGAGCTGTCTCGTGTCTGTGTCCACCGTGGCCGTGTGTGGCGCTGCTGGTCCCGTTCTTCGGTGTGGTGAAACAACGGCAGAAGGAAAAGTGCAATTTTCGGTTCAACGGCACTCTCCACACGGACGACGACGGTGTGGAAAAAAAGTGATTATTAGTTTTCTTTTTTTTTGTCTGTGTTTTAATTGTAAAATTAAAACCAAGCGAGCGTGAAAAAATATTGTGATTTCTCCCACGTCTATCGCAACCAGAAGATATTTATTGTGTATTGTCAGTGTCGATATAGATTTTAGTCGGTTCGCGTTCCGTGTGTGCGTGTTTCGGTTTTCCGCACCCCCCAAAGTCGCTTCCAAAATCAGGAACAAAAACGGAACATTCGACGGGGGAAAGGTGTGCACCATCAAACCAGCAGACGGAAGAAAGTTTTTCCCAAAGTTGAGCAGGAGGCCAAAAAACGGCACAAGCAAAAGCGAAGAAAGAAGAAAGAGCTGCTGACTCGGAACGGACGATTCCGAGAGCGCCATCGAGAAGAGAGCGGAGCGCGCTAGAAGACTCATCCGCCCGACCTTAGTAGAGTAGTATTTGGTGGGTACCGATAGACCGTCGAAAGAGAGCGAGAGCACCGCCAGGAAAATGTCGGGCGATCGTGAAATTCCAGCTGAGGATAGCATCAAGGTGGTGTGCCGTTTCCGGCCGCTGAACGACAGCGAGGAACGGGCTGGGTCCAGGTTCATCGTCAAGTTCCCCTCGGGACCGGAGGAGAACTGCCTCTCGATAGGGGTAAGTACGCTGTAAAGAACCGACGATTATGTAAGACGTAAGAAGCCGACTGTGTCAGGCGGGGAAAAGGAGGGGGGGGGGGAATGCTCTCTTTTTCGTATGTGGGAGGGAGCGAATTCGATTGATGCTTGCCACTGGCCGGGGGAGGAATGATTCATTCTTGAAAGGCTGCTGCTGCAGTTGTCAACGTGAGTGTGTTTTGCTATGCTTTGACTTGAATGATGCGAGATAGGCTCGTGTTATTGATTTTTCTTGTGACGGGAATCGAGGCAGAGCAGCAACGCTGTTTTGGTTTTTATCTGGGACGCTGCAGGGATCAATGGCTTTTTAATGCGTTCGTATTTTTGGGGAGCATGCTCTGGTTTTTTGTTTTTAATTCATTGTCGCATTATGTTCCGGATGACATTGACGGCAAGCTCGATGATCAAATTCTGAAAGCACTGAACCACGCTCTGGTAGATTTGGAAAGTTCTTTGTTAACAACCACCGTGGAACACTTAATACAAGGCAACATTTTCAGTACGAACGTGATAAGTCACTGCAGTAGCGTTTATGACAACACATAGCTGCTTATCAGAACTATACGGAAGGGTTCGAATATTTCAACACAAGAGCTGGAAGGAAGGAGCTTCGGAACAAGTGAATTTCAATTTGAAACCCATGATGCTTTGCTGTTCGCCTTAGACAGTGTTGGCGAGTGTCTAGTTCCTCTGGATTTAGCATTCAAGTTGATATAGCTTTCTGCCATATCGTCTCAAAGTTCGTGCATGGATCATGATGTCAATGTCATTGGCGAAGCACATTAGCCTTGATTATTTTCTTTTTTCTTGGGTTATAAGACCGATGCTTCTGATTACGCATTCCATTTCAGTCATTTTGCTTTTGGAATATGCACCATAACTGTTGGGATGAGTTTACCAACTCTTTATAGCTACACTTTGTGGGTTGTGTGTGTGATAGCTTAAAGCTGCAATTTAGAGTTTATTTCAGTAAAGATGCTTAACTGATTAATTTTAAGACTTACAAATTTGGTGTACTTGCTCTGGAAGTGGTATGGCTCGAATTCCCAATCTACTTCTTCAATATAGACCGTACTATAATTTTGATTTAATACTAGCGTTAAGTTCAATTTCCGTTAATTTCATCCGTACTTACAGTGTTTATAATTTAGGATTATATTCAAGCACTACACGGCAAATAATGTCAATATTAGATAAGTAGAATAATAGAATAAAGAGTTTGTATAACAATACTGAAACTCTCGATCAACAACTATGTCAAATTTTGTTCCTCGTTTTTGTTCTTCCTCTTTTCGTTTGACGTTATTCTAAATCCCACCGGTGACGTTTCCGACTGTCATTTCATTCACCGTAAATGCAGGGCCGTAGCGTTCGCAGCGCCGCCGCGATGAGGGGTCTCGTCGTGACATACCCCCGCCCGTAAACCTTGGTGAGGGTCGCACTCTACTGTCCCTACCAGGAAACACCTGCTCGATACGTCCACATTTCCACTGGTCCCTCGCCGCTCCGCCAACGACCAGAACCAAATCGCCTACTGCCAGATATTTTACATCGTTGAACCATTTGCATCGCCGTGTGATCACAGGAAGGTACTCCTTAAGCCACCTGTACCAAAAATCATAAGCGATATACCTAGCTAGCTTCCAGCTGCTTAGAAGGGTTGACCGATAGTCTAACTGCTCGGTGGGTAGTAACTTGGACCCGGAAGAACTGCCCAGCAAAAAATGGTTGGGTGTCAAAGCCTCCTGGTCTGCCGACTCCAGAGGGATTTAGGTAAGCGGTCTGGAGTTGATCATCCCCTCCGTTGTCTCGTCGTCTGGTTTGCGCGGACTGTTAAGCAAGCCTCCAATTACTACTTTTACGGACCGGATGAGCCTCTCCCATGCACCGCCCATGTGTGGTACCGCTGGTGGGATGAATTTCCAAGCAGTTTCGGCGGTTGTAAACCTTTCCGAGAGGGCCTTGATTTTGGCATCCGTTTGCGCCCGTGCCACAAAGCGTTGAACAGCCATAATGCACGACTCCGTACTTAGTGAATGCACGATTTCCATGTGTACCGTTCTAATCGTGAGACATGTGAAGAGGACCACCCAGCTTTTCACACTGCTTCTTCCCACGTTGGTCAGTACTGACCCGAAGTAGTCCAACCCGGTGAACGTGAACGGTTGAACGAAAGCTGTCAGGCGCATCTCGGGAAGTGGAGCCATTGCTGGTGGTCTTGGAATTGCCTTTCATTAGGCGGCAGAATGCACACGCATTTGCGACTTTATCCAAGAGCCTTCTTAGAGATGAGATCTCAAAGCGTTGACGAATCTCGTTGAATATGGTTTCTCGGTTGGCGTGACGGAAGCGGCGATGATGCCAGTCTACAATAAGGAAGGTAATTAGATGTTGTTTGGGAAGGATGATCGGGAACTTAGCTTCGGCCGGTGCATACGGTGCCGCACCGATTCGACCACGACTGCGTAGGATACCCTTCTCATCCAGGAACGGACATTTATTGTAGATTGTGCTGGATTTGTCTACGAGGGCGCGGCGATTTTCAGGACGCCCTTGGGTCTTGACGAGGATGACGATTTCATCAGCGTAGTACTCACTTTGAGCTGTTTTAAACAGTGCTTCTTCGGCTCTTCTGAGTTCGTTGCTGGTCAGTTTGCCGAGTTCCAAATTGTCTTTGGTTCTACGTCTACGAAGATTAGCAATACAGCGAAACACGTACGCAGCTACCCGCTGCATTTTGATCCATTGATCGAATCTTTCGAAATTCATGTTTGGAACGAAGTGAACGACACGACAGTGAGCAGGTCGGAGTTCTTCTTCAGTTGAAATAAACATACGTTGAACAGGCCAGCGCTCCTCAGGCTGGTGTAGGAAGGCCGTTCCACTTAGTTGCCAGATCTGCCACATTTAGTTTGGACGGGACCCACCGCCATTCCGACTGCTGCGTTGATGACAAAATCTCACCGACTCGAACGGCGACAAATTTGTGATAACGTAGATGATCGGTTGAGCGCACCCACGCGAGCACAGTGCTGGCATCACTCCAACAGTAGCGCTGGTGGATCGTGTACGAGTGGTATTTTTGAATCGTCTCCATTAATCGGACACCAAGGATAGCCGCTTCAAGCTCAAGTCGAGGGATTGAGGGCATCTTCAGCGGTGCTACCTTGGTCTTAGCACCAACAAGAGCCACCTCTGTACCACTTGGATAGTCGTTAGCAAACTCGTCTGCGTTGATGTTTTTCACGTACTGCGCCGATGTCGGAGAACAGGACGATCCGAAATTTGCTACATCCATAACGTAGATTGATGGGAGGTCGGTCGGGTCTTCACGGAATACGAAGCGTTGCGATTGCCAATCAGGGAAGCGAATTTTCAACTGATGGAACATTTCCATGACATCACCACTCACTGCTACGGGGTATTGGCGAAACTGGTATAACCCATCGGAAGCGGTGTCAGTAGGTCAGGACCCTTGAGCAGTCTGGAGTTAAAGGATACGTCGCCTACCTTTGCTGCCGCGTCCCAGATCAACCGCACTTTTTCTGGGATTGATGACAACGCCTAAAGGAAGGCACCACACACGATTGGCATCGACGGAAGTCAATTCGGCCAGACTAGCTTTCTTGTCGTACTCGGAGATTTGTTCACGCACACGCTCTCACAGCACTGGTTCTCGTTGAAGCCGACGCTCGAGAGACTCTAGACGCCGGATAGCCATGCGGTAGCTATCGGGAAAGTTTGGATTATCAGTGTTCCATAGGAGGCCGGTCTCGAAGTTCGGTCCGTCAGGCATACGTCGTGTTTGTCTGTTCCAGCAGCATCTTCGTACGTAGTTGATCATTTAGTTCACGATCACTCGACTTGTGCTAACAATGTCAACAGGTCCTAAGTTGACGTTACCAACGGTCTTCAGCACATGCGTTTTTACGGATTTGACAGCGGCTACCCAGGGGCCTCCGAAGTGACGATTTCATTTTCGGAGCACCAATCGAAGATTTGCGCACGGTCAGCAGCTTCAATCTTTAGCATTCGGTAAATCCTATTCAAGGTATGCGAAGCACCTTTGAAGGCAGTAGCATTCTCAAAATGGAGCTCGACGACTTTTCCTCGACGGGCGACTAGACGACGTAGTGCAGCTAGGAACGCAGGAGTTGACAAATCGCTCACTAACTCGATGTGGACAGCTTTGGTTGCGAAGCAAACGAATATGGCCACGTAGATTTTTGTAGGACCACGCTTTTGAACTGCTGAATTGATGTAGAACGGTCTTCAGTAGTCGATACCGCACACGGAAAACGGACGCGTTGGCGAAACTCGCGATACCGGCAGATCGGCTGTGCTCTGCTGGACTAGAGTTGGCTTGCTTCTAAAACAAGTGTGGCATTGGTGGAAGACGGATTTTATAAGGTTTCTGCTGCCGAGAATCCAAAACTTCTGGCGGAGAGTGGCTAGCAGGAGTTGCGGACCTGTGTTTGATTGCGCCGGATAACGCGGCGTTACGGATACGACCACCGACGTGGATTTTTTTTTTTTTTTCCTTTGGTTTGTTTTCCGTCGATCTTGTTTTCCGTGCTGAGCACCAATGCTACCGACGCCAGGGAGGCAGCTCCCACACCTGGACCCTACCTATCGACCCATCAACTCATGAACCGGGGACCAACGGCTTTACTTCCCTTCCGAAGGAAGACGTGATCAGAGATGTTATGCCTCAGAACATCCCGGCGGCGCCGACTGGGATTGAACCCAGGCCTGCTGGGGTGAGAGGTAATCACGCTTACCACTACACCACCGGCGCCGCTACCACCGACGTGGATGATACGGGTTTGGTCTATGAAGGGGCTCAGCCATTTGAGTGTGAAGATGATTTAGTGACGCGTTCGCCATTTGCAAGATCGGAGAGCTCCTCAGCGAAAGCCTTGCGCTGTGACAACCGGCACAGTAGCTGTTCGGCGTGTTGAAGCTCGGTGATGGTAACTC